ATGTTTGCTGCCTTATCAAAAACCCCAATACCATTTACTGCTCTGCCCCACCATGAACCTTCGAGAAAGCTATTTATATTTTGGTTTCCTGTTGCTGGTGTTGAACTGGTGATAATTTCTGCAAGGAAAATTTATTTTTTCTGTAGTTGAATTGAGGGGACATGATTATCAGAACCTCCTATTCTGCCATATTGTGAATGGTTTCTTTATTTTTGTTCCCTAGGTTCAAATATCACTATTCTTCAAATAAATCACATTTACTTGTAGTATTTACAGTCTTCAAGTTCACTGATTTTTTTTTTCTTCAGCCAGTTCAAATCCTTGAGGTGATCTAGTGAATTTTTCATTCCAGTTATTTTCTATTTAATTGGGAAAAGAATCTTTTTAAACAAATGGTTCTGGGGAAACTGAATATTGACACGCAAAAAAATGAAGTAGGACCCTTAACCCCAATTACAAAAATTAACTCACAATAGGTAAAAAAATCTGAATGTAAGAACTAAAACTTTGAAAATCTTTGAAGAAAAAACTGGGAGAATCGTTAGCCATTGAATATGGCAATGATTTCTTGACTGTAACACCCAAAGCATAGGCCACAACAACAATAAAAACTTAAATTGGGGGCCTCCCTGTGGTGCAAGGGGTTAAGACGCAACCTATGAAGCTGTCCGCAGCAGCTGCAGCACGAGTTTGATCCCCAGGCCAGCCAGGGAGCAACCCACATGGTGAGGCAGACCTCTCCTGTCTCGCCCACTACTCCTCTCAGCAGTGTATTTCAGTCAGTCTGCCTCTTCTGTTCCCCACTCTGTCTCTGGTGAATCCTCTCACCACCTCCTACACACACACACACCTCTGGCCTGTACTCCAGCTCTTGTGTACATATATAAATAAATGTTTAAAAAGAAACTTAAATTGGCACTATAGACCGAACGTTTGTATCCCACCCAAATTCACATGTTGAAGTATGTTAGAAAAAGTTAATATTGCCTTGAAGGGATTATTAAACTCAACTGTGATGAGGTCTCAGAAAGGAAATAAGAATGCTGGAAATGAAGTTTCCATCTTATTACAGAATACATAAATTAGCAAGTACAGAATTTGGGATAAATATGGACAGTAAATACAATTCTGTGAAGTCTCAGTTCGAAATGAGAAACATGCTATTGTACAGCAGTGAAAGGCAATCCTTGTTATTGAGTGGCAAATAAACTTGACTGAAGTGTGTTCATACTCCAGTGTCTTATGGAAGGTAGAGCTTGTATGCAACAAAATTGGATATTTAGCTGAGGAAATTTCCAAGCAAGTGTTGGAGGATAAGCTTGGTTCCTGCTGAATACTTGTAGTAATGTGTGATTAGAGAGAAATGATGGAAAAAAGAATTGTTAAACTAAAAGGAAACAACTCAAAGATTTGGAAATTCCTCAGCCTATCTTGCAAAATGCAAGAAATGAAGTTCTAAAGGTGTGATGGAATTTCTACTATTCAATAACAAAAAAAGAACCCTATCAAAATGGGCAAATAACTTGAAATTATATTTTTCAAGAAGATATATAAATGGCTAAAGCATATAAAAAGAATTTCAGCATCACTAATTAATAGGGAAATGAGAATCCTTATCATTTGAGATATAACTTCATACCCAATATTACTTTAAAACACTTGTACACTGCTGGTGGGAATATAAAATGGTGTCGATGCTGTGGAATATATTATGATGTTTCTTTAAAATCTAATAAAATTACCCTGTGTTCTAACAATTTTTTTTTTGTGGGACCCTCGTGGGCGGCTGGGGAACGAACTGGCGCTGCAGAGGCAGTGGGCAGCTTTGTGGCCCAGCGCTCAACTGCTGCGCCACCAGGGGAGGCCCTGTTCTAACAATTCTTCTGAGTATATACCCCAAGGAATTGAGAGCAGAGGCTTAAACAGATATTTGTGTCCCCATGTCCACAACAGCATTATTCACAATAGGAAAAAAGGAGAAGCAACACAAGTGTCCACGGAGAGATGCATGAATAAATAATATATGAGATGTGTATATATATATATATATATATATATATATATATATAGTCATTAGAATATTACTCAGTTTTAATTTCATGGACTCACAGACTTGAAGGAACACCGGCACAAACCACCTTAAAACGATCACCTGAGTTAATGTTGTGGTGTAATGATTCCTCTTTGATGATTCCTCCTCTTGTCTTTTAAATATTCTAGAATATTTAGATATATATTCTAGATAAGTGAAATGACTTGTTTAAGGTGACAGTCAATTAAGAATAGTACAAAGAAAATAAACCAAAGATATTTCAGTCACAGCTTATATCCACTTGAACTCTCATCATGTATACTGGAATCATTGTGGGAGCTGTTACAATGAAATAGTCCCTTAATCTCACTTCTAATGAGTCTGATTAAATCGATGGGGAGTGGGTCCTAAGCGCCACTTTAAATCTCAAATAATTCAAATCTGCATCCAAGGTTGGAACCTGTGCTCTAAAGTTAACAGCATAAAAATAAGACAGTTGCTTCTTTTAAAAAGCCACACCCTACAAAGAAAACAATGCCTGTGTAAAGATTAATCAAGGCCTTAAAAAGTGTGTTTACAGGATTCATATGCCCCAATTTGATCTAAAGTCAGCTTCTGCACATCAGAGATGTCTGATGTAGTGGTTATGGATTAAAACAGCTTCCTGGATCATTGGCCAGTTTTTCTGAGAGTTCTGATACAGAGCCGGTCTTTATAGCACATGATAAACACTGACATACATTGCAAAAAGTCCATGTCACATTTGTGTTTAATGCTTTCTCTGTTGTGTCCCTTTTACAACTGCAAGGGGTAGTCTACAGGGAAGCAATTTGCCCACAGATGATCAGAGGGAAGCCTGGATTCAGATTGCAGGACTCTCGACTCAGCTATAGCAAACTATTGTGACCTACATCATACAAACCCCATGCTAAGCCCTAAGGGTACCAGGAGAAATGAGCCGTTAAAACTTACTATGAAAAAGGTGGTCTAGTTGGGGAGCACTGATTATGGGGTGGTGCTCTAGCCACGACTGGGTGGAAAATGTTTTAAAAATTAAAATGTTTTAATCCACCTACCCAGTCCTCTGTTTTGGCCAATGTTTGCCATTGATCTGTGATTACTAGTTTATTGGGCACAGAAAATCTCAAGCAAAACAAGAGAGAAATTGCTTTGGGTCCATGTAGGTTAGTGTGAGTAGAGACTGCTGAGGACTGCTGGGGGGATGTGGTGGGGGTCAAAGTACCACATGAGGACACAGTCACCCTACAATACGGGTATGTGCAGAGTGGAACATGTAGCAGTGTCTGCATAGAAAATGAAGAGTCAAGGAAATGAGGCCATATCCATCAGAGGATGGAAAGGATAGTCCAATTCAGAACATACTATCAAGAGGGATAGATTTATCTAGGGAAAGGTGAGTGAGGAATGAAGTCTGAGAAAAAACTGTAAAGGGCTCTTTGTTTTTTTTTCTTTATAAGATTTATTTATTGGGCCTCCCCGGGGGCGCAGCGGTTGAGCTCTGGGTTGCGAAGCTGCCCGCAGCCTCTGCAATGCCGGTTTGATCCCCGGCTGTTCCCCGGCTGAGGAGGGTCCCACATGGCGCGCAGACCTCTCCTGCCACCCGCTGCTCCCCTCAGCAGTGTACTTCGGTCCTTCTGCCTGCTCTGCTCCCTGCTCTGGCTCTGGTGAATTCTCTCACCCTCCCGCGCTTCTGACTGTACCCAGTCCTTGTATAAATAAATAAATAAATCTTAAAAAATAAAAATAAACTAAAAAAAAAAAGATTTATTTATACAAGCACTGGGTACAGTCAGAAGTGCGGGAGGGTGAGAGAATTCACCAGAGCCAGAGTGGGGAACAGAACAGGCAGACTGGAAATACACTGCTGAGGGGAGCAGTGGGCGTGGCAGGAGATGTCTGCGCGCCATGTGGGACCCTCGACTCCGGCGGCTGGGGATTGAACTGGTGCTGCAGAGGCTGTGGGCAGCTTCACAGCCCAGCGTTCAACCGCTGCGCCACCAGGGGAGGCCCTAAAGGGCTCTTTGGATCCCTGAGCAGCACATGGGAAGAACCTACCTGGATTAAGAGTAACTCTAGGGCCTCCTTGATGGTGCAAGGGGTTAAGCACATCAGTGTGAAGCTATCCTCAGCCTCTGCAGCATAAGTTGAATCCCTCGCTGACCAGGGAGCTACCCACATGGCGCAGCAGACCTCTCCTCTCTCTCCCACTTCTCCCCTCAGCAGTGTATTTCAGTCAGTCTGCCTGTTCTGTTCCCCACTGTCTCTGGTAAATCCTCTCAACCCCCACACCTGTGGCCTGTACCCCAGCTCTTACATGCATAAATAAATCTTTTTTTAAAAGAAAAAAAAAAACCCTGAAGAAGGAAGAGGCATTCTCCACATTTTTGAAAAGGCAAAATGGGGATTCAGACCACTGAGGGTTTTAGAGAAATCAGCGAGTCTTTATCACCTTTAGGACTCCAGCACATCAGCAATGGTGAGGACCAGTGGTGGGAGCACTGGGGAAGGAACAGAAGGGTAAGAACGCCTAGCAGTCACAGTGTTATCCAGGAAAGGGGGACAAGGTACAGAAAGGCGTCACCCATGGAGCAGCCATGCACCTGCTGGCAGGCATCCTCCTCAGGCCCTTCCCCAAATATGAATGGCATCTAGAGGGCTGGGGCCTTGTTTGTGTGGACAGAGTCAGAGTCTGGTCATTATTTCATTTGATCCCCCAGAATAGCCCTGAAAAGCATGTATTTTCTTTATTTTAGTGATGAATAGGCCACCTTTAAATAAATGTATCTGTAGTAATTACCAAGTTTGTGATTCTAAGTAAGAGATGCAGAGGTAATATAAGGTGGATGTGTCTTTCAATTGTGTCTCAAGTATTTATCAATTATTCCCATCCCCATTATCAGCTAATTGGCAACATAAAATGCTTTCAATAATATGCATGGCTTTAAATAAGATAGTCTACCTATAGACTGCTTTTAAAACTGCTTTATTAACTTTAGAATATGTAATAAGCATTTTTCCATGCAAGTTAATGAAACCCCCCTGCTGACAGAAAAAAAACTTACAGCCTAAGTCAAAACAAAATTTCCAATCAGAAGAGTGACAGAACAAGGTTCACAGTAAAGGGTACATCAAGAAAATGCAAGTTTGGGGAGCAGGGGGTTTATGATTCTTAACCTCAGCATTCAAGGCATAAGGCAAAACTCATCATGATGGTCATGGTGAGGGGGGTCACCTATGAGAATGCGCAGACTGTATCTCAACTGAAGCTCCCTAATTTTCCGCCTTAGCTCTCGCATCTCCTCCATGAACCTTTCCATATCATCTGCATCCCCATCTATCATGTCAATGTTATTGACAAGGCGATTGGGCATATCCTCTCTCACATCTTGGTCAGGTTGAGCCCAATCCCCTCTCATATTTCCTCCAGGCTCCTGGCCTTCACCACCTCCCAAAGGGCGGGCTTCTTCTTCATTCTGCACTGGGGCCTGCTCCCCTCCTTTGCTTTCCTGGGGGGTGTTTTCCATGTTGAAGTTTTTCCCGCTGCTTCTTCCTAGGAGATAAAAAGCAAGAGGGATTGAATGCCTGGTAACAACAGGAGCTCCGCCAGGCGAATATGGGAAAACTGCGCCCTCTAGGGGAGGGCCCCAGCACAGCACTGCCCCAAGTCCACCATTACCCCAGAAATCCCATCCGTAGACCCCCCCCTCACCAAAATGTAGGATGGGTGGGGGGCTGGATAGTGGCTGGGAGAAGAAGCGGGGATCCTGAAAAGCCCTCCATGAAGGCCCCAGGACTCTTCCTTTTAATTCTACCTTCTTCTCTCACCAGCCACAGGCCCAGTTTCCAAAGACTCAGCCCGCCTTCTTCAGCACTTATCTAGGGCAGGGAGGGCAGAGTCTCTTCTGATATCCCCCTGCAATAGAGGGCCCAGGAAGTCCCCCTACCTGCAGGAAACAGAAGCGCTCTTCCTCTGCTTGGCCTTGAAGTCTGCAGCACTAACGACCTGAAGCCCTGCAAAGAGAAACAGGACAATGCCGGTAGTGACACTAGACTAAGGGCCCGTATGGGGGCACCATTTCCCTCGTTGATTTAGGGCGCTGCTAGTCAAACGTTGCCACCTTCTTTTTCCTCCATCCGCTCACACGGTTTCTTTCCCCCGCGTTGTGATGCGCTACCCCGCGTCCCAGCAAAAGGCGGTGATCAAAGATGATTATTTCTAAACGATTTCCACCTCTTCTTCAGTCCCCTAAGCCCATTGTCCCGCCCCTCGTCACCTAATTACCATTTCTTGAACGCAAATGCACACCTCGAGGGGTGGGGGAGTCAGGTTGCTGGATGGCGACGCGGTGTATTTATAAAGAATTTCTATTTGTGCACCCTCCAGGACGTTTTGGATTCCAATGGCCTTTCTTGAGCCCACCCTCCTTCCATTGCCCACCATTTTATGCATCAAGATGGACGGAGGGCGCGGAGGTGGCGTGGGCAATGCAAACCTGGCCCCGCGGCGGCCTCTGCGCTTTGTCACGCTTCCCTCACTCGCGGCGGGCAAGCAGCGCCCCCGCGTACGCGGCCCTGCAGGGGCCAGAAGCAGTTTCTCCAGCTCCCCGCCCGCCGCCAGAGCTCAATCGGGGCACACCGCTTGGTAGCCTCCCCCGCGGCAGGCACTCCTTCCCGGGCCTCGTCTCGGCCCCTATTCCCTGCAGCAGCCGCTCCCCTCCCACCCCGGGCCCCGCAGCCCACCATTTGCAGACACAAAATGGACGGAGCGTGGAGCAGAGATACCGGGAACGGAGTCCGCCGTCCCCGTTCAGCGTTACTGGCTGCACCCTCCACCCGTCGTCCCGCAGGAAATCCGGCTATTTCCTCGCCGTCCCCCTCCACGGGGCCTCCCCGTCCTTCACACTTCGTCAGAAGATTCCATTTAGTGCCCCTTCTCCACCCTGGGCACCTCTCGATCGCTCCCCCTCCCCCCAAACCCTCCATTTCTTGCACCAAAGGGATGGACTTCGGGGAAGGGGCAGAGAAAATCCAGTCTGGACCCGCTTGGTTTTTGCTCGCTGCCACCCCCACCCCAGTCAGCGGCGACCAACCTGCCCCAGATCGTGAGCAGCTTCTCCGGCTCCCTCCTTCCGCGGGTTACTGACTCGCCCGCCTTGCAGGCAGTACGAGCCGGCGCGCAGCCACAGACGACCACCAGACCGCAACTAGGACGAGACTCTTCCACGCGTCAGCTCTAGGTCTCCTAAGGGCCACGTCACTGTGAGCTCAGATCCCCAATTACGGTCCCTACCTGCAGTGCGGCAGGAGGCTGGGGGAGGGAGCGTGGGCGGGGCCGCTTTTCGCCCCCGTGCCCCCCCCAATCTCTCCACCGCTACCCATCCCCTTGTTTTTTTCCTCCTTAGACTCTTCCAGACTGAAGGGCTCAGGATATTTTGTAGTTTGTATTGGCCTTTCCCCTGATTTCTGCAGGAGCTTATAAAGGATTTTTCTTCCACTTCTGTATCATTAAGCGCCCACTTCTCCAGTCCACCCTCCAGCAAGCAAAGCCCAGAATTTCCCCTAAGGGTGTAGATCTTGTCCCAGACTGGAACTGGGGCGGAGGTGGGGCCCGAGGCTAGGAAATCTGGAAAATAGGTAGGAAGTGATATTAACACTCCCTCCCCACTTTTATCTTAATTATTTCCCCCTCTCTGCTTAATTTTTTTGAAGGGGGGAGGATGACTGCTTTTATTTTGCTTCCCATAAGTATGCATTCATTTTTTGAATGTTATAATTACACAATACAGTTATTTACAATTGTAAATAATTATAGGATTCGAGTTGTAAAAATTTGGCTACCTGTTTCTGCCGCTAAATATTACAGATATAGATTCTCCACGCAGCAAGCACCATCTCCTCCTTTTAAGGACTTTGAAATAGAAACCTAAGCTGGTGGCCGTGCTTAAGAAGGGTCTCTGTGCAGATCTATAAGGTGATTCAGTGAGTCTAATAGTTTTGCTAGTGGATTCTCAGACCCTGAGAGCCTGTGACAAACATGTTCTCCTCTAAATGTTATTAGTGCAACAAGTACTAACACTACAACAACTTTACAACACTCTAGAATGACCTCTAAAATGGAGCAACATTGAGGTATTCCAGCAATTCAGAACAATAATTTGGACACGGTTTGCTAACAGAAAGTATTGTGATGCTACAGTATTATACCAAAACATAAAGAAAAACAAAATAGTAAGCCAATTGTCAAACCCAGACATGGAGAAATATTGGTAATCTGGTTGAAATACTTTGAATCAGTGGGCAGAGGTAGGTTACTGAAAAAATGGTGCTGAAATAATTGGTTAGTGGTATGGAAAAATGAAGTGCCTTATTCCTATCACACACTTAAATACAGACACTAAATGTTTAAATAAAAAATACATACAACTACTGAAAATAGAATATAATAAGTGTTGCTTTGTATATAATCTTAGGATGAAAAAGTTCTTTAAACACATAGCACCAGGGCTTCCCTGGTGGCACAGGGTTAAAGACAGCGCTATCAAGCTGCTACCAGCCACCACAGCATGAGTTCAATCCCCCAGCCAAGGAGCTAACCCACATGGCGCAGCAGACCTCTCCTGTCTTGCCCACTGCAGCAGTGTAATTCTGTAGATCTGCTTCTTCTACTCCCCACTCTCTCTGGTGAATCCTCTCCCCCACCACCTCTGGCTTACACCTCAGTTCTTGTATGCATAAATAAATAAAACTTAAAAATAATAAAAACATATCATCAAAGATTGACATGGCTGAAGTGCAACTGGCCAAATCATGTTTGGAGCCCCTCTAAGGGAACCTGGTAGAATGTTACTCAGAATTATGTCAATTAGCAATGGGAAATTGAAGTGTTTATCCAAAGACATGGTTTGATTACTGGCAGAACCAATAAAGCGTCCCTGGCTATGCTAAAAATCTCTGGCACTTCCAGGTTGTCCTAAGCCTGGGCTTGGTAAACTCCCAAAGTACTCGAATAAGCCTTCAGTAAAATTAGAAGGTAAAGTTAATGTAGACAAACAATACAGCTCTATCCCTGCCTCCAGAAATATGCTATTTACATTTCCAAATTTATCCAACTTTTACCCACTAATAACACACATACCCACTACTGTACTTATGTACATTCGGGTTGTTTGTCATTTTCACTATCAGACACAAAGTTGACGGAATTTGTTTGTACACATATTATTTTGTATACCGATACCGGAATATTAAATCCCTAGAACTGTCACTGCTGTATAATGACTGTGGCTGCTTTTAATTGTCATAGAAATCGGCCTTGAAAAATACTGTTTGATTTGGTGTCTATTATGTATGAGCATTCCTGCTTTTTATTTATTTATTTATTTTTAATTTATTTATTTTATCTGTTTCTTTGTTTTGTTTATACAAGCACTGGGCACAGTCAGAAGCGCGGGAGGGCGAGAGAATTCACCAGAGCCAGAGCGGGGAGCAGAGCAGGCAGAAGGACCGAAGTACACTGCTGAGGGGAGCAGCGGGTGGCAGGAGAGGTCTGCGCGCCATGCGGGACCCTCCTCCGGTGGCCGGGGAGCAGCCAGGAATCGAACCGGACCACAGAGGCCGCGGGCAGCTTCGCAACCCAGCACTCAACCGCTGCGCCACCGGGGAGGCCCATTCCTGCTTTTTAATATGTCCACTAACACTGACTGTTACCTTTACTGTATTTTTAAATTTTCATTTTATTTACTTTTGTTTCATTTTGTCTTATTTCACTTACTTTTATAAATTTGCTCTCAAGGTTATCAGGGAGACCTCTCCAGGCATGAGAGAGAGACTTGAGAGGGGCCAGGACTGAGTCTAGACAGGTTTGGGCACTGGGCTTTGAGAACAATGGAATTAAACTTTGTTGGCTGAGAAAGGGAGGAGAGTGGACTTGGCTAAAGCCCGTTTGTTGTTGCCAGTTGTGAGCACCCACCAGCTACCCCTTCTTCATGCACAGCTCATGACCATTTCCAAGGCTAAAGTCTCCTGGAGCCTGTGTGCTGGCAGCTCTGGTTTGAACCGGTTTGGTCTCAAGACATGTTACTCTTTTCTTTTGAGTCTGTAACTCCCTCTTTTCCCCATAGCAGCTGATTTGATAAGCTGTGGGGAGATAACTCAGGAATGCCAAGGCTGGGGAAATTAGTGCTAAAAAAAAAAAAAGAAAGAAAGAAAAAGAAAAACAAGGGTGGGGGGGGGCAAGGAAATTTATGGCAGTAGGTGTCTAGAGTCATCAGATTTTTTCAAGATTTATTTATTTATACAAGCACTGGGGTAGAGGCCAGAGGCAGGGGAGGATGAGAGAATCCACCGGAGACAGAGTGGGGAGCAGAACAGGCAGAAGGACCAAAATACACTGCTGAGGGGAGCAGCGGGCGAGACAGGAGAGGTCTGCCGCGCCATGTGGGCATCTCCCTGGCGGGCAGGGACTCGAACCCGTACTGCAGAGGCTGAGGACAGCTTCACAGTGCTGTGCTCAACCTGCTCTGCCAGCTGCACCACCACCACAGGGGAGGCCCTAGAGTCATCAGATTTTTAACCTCTTGTTTACCAGCTCGTGGGAACAGCAATTTTGTCCTTGAGTCTTGCCTGTCCTTGTCCCAGGACCCATCCTCTCTCTTCCTTATTTGCTTTCAGTTAGTAACAATTTAACTACTCATTTTAATGCCTCAAGAGTGTTTAAATCATTGTAATTTAACCCATATCCAGTTGATTCCTATTGTTATTATTTCCATATATTTAAAGCTGCCAGTATTGTTTCTGGACAAGCAAATAATCTATGTTGGTAAACCCTGCAGTTGGTACACACACACACACACACACACACACACACACACACACACACACACACACACACACCCCACATCCTATATTGATTTGTCATTTCCATTTTTCTGTTTTTATTTCAACCTCTCTTTTCTTTTACAAATGTTTTACTATTTTAATGACTGGTTTGTTTTTCAAAAATAAAACAATCCAGCCCATCCAGTTTGGCACATATTATTGGAAATCTTTTTTTTCTGCCTGTATTTACAGAAAGGAAAACTATCGAATTAGGAAGAATTACATCATAAATGTGTTTCTCCTTTAAGGACAGTACAGAATTATGTTCAATAGCAATGTATAAAGAAAAATAAGGTTTTAAAACTTCTACACTTTTCCCCATTTACTCTGTGAAAGAAATTACTGTTTTCTGCTCAACTAACTTTAGAAAATAAATACAACTTTTTTTCTCATGCTAAAAGTTGCAAAAATTTCATGCTCATGAAAGATTATTTGTCTTTTTTATTTCTAATAACTTAAAACTTTTGAAATATTGTAATATATATGAGTCAGAGCAATGACTAGTGGGAAAATGATTGTTTAAAAAATTCTAACAGTTAATGTAAAACAATTTTTACTAAGCTTAATAAAATTTTATTAAAGCTTTGTGTTGAGAAGTTATTAAAATAGTTTTTCTTAATAATATTAATTAGAGTGGTTTAAGATTAATCTCCCTTCTGCAGTAGAAATGAAGGTAATTTTAATGGTGCTCCAAGTCTTAAAACCACTATAAAACCTCTTTGCTTTATTAAAATATTTTGCTAAAAATAACAATACATATGCACATATTTTAATTGAGTCATATGTTCTTTTCTGAGACTTTTTTTTTAAACCTAGCATTGTATTTGAGCTTTTTTCCTTGTCAGTAAATATGATAAAACCTATATCAGTTTTCCATTGCTGGTGACAAATTATTATAAACTTAGAGGCATATAAAACAAAATTTATTATCTCACAGTTCCTATAGGTC